CAAACTCATGAGATGTCAGCAAGGATGCAATAATTTTCCAAAATTCAAAACTGTCCTTTTTCAATTAAGTAGGCTTTGAATTTTCAAAATCTTTTTTAATAAACCTATAAAATTGTTTTGATCTTTATTGCATCTGCAGTAATACTGGAAATAGTTTACTGTGACTAATAATAGTAGTTGTTCTTAATTCACCATGGCACAGTTACAGACCTAGCTGTGACCTTCCCAGGCCAGCTACAATTGAGCTATTGTTAAAGTGATTGCTGTGCTATCCTGTTAAGTTATATTAAGCTGTGCAGAGTACATTTTCAATTTTTAGTGTAATAAAGCTGAGACCTTTTGAACCTTAAATGGAGGTGAATGAATGCTGTGGGAAGTCATAGGCTTTGTCTTAATTGCCAAAGGGGTGTGTGTTTACTATGGCATAATTAATGCACATTAGCTGTCTCACTATAAATCCTAGTGGAGACAAGGTACCATTGTTTTTACCAGGAGATAGATAGGCAAAAATTAGTGCTACCTTGTGGTACAAACTACAGTGTTTTGAATCCATTAGGGTTATGCTACAAGGAAGCTAATGAATGTTGGGTATTTTTCTGTTAAAAAAAAAACATCCTTTTTGCCATGAAGACACAGCCAGGTAGAAGTTTGTACTTAATACATTTAGTCTGCTATAGAACTTTTGTTATCAGTACTATTTTAAGAAGTCCTCGGCCATTTAATATTTGGTGTCTGGTAGTATGCAGTTTGCCACAATCATTTGGAATTTCACAATGACAGTGGATACAAAACTCTGATTTCCTGTTCCTAAAGCACATGTCTCTATCTCTTAAGATTAGAGGAATCTGTATTAGCATTATAAGGTCTTTGACAGATAGATTAGCAGTTTTTATTCTTTCCACTAGATAGTCTTATAGGTTAGCCAGTTCATTCTAATATAGGTGTTTTTGGTGAGGTTTACATCAGCCCTGATTATTGTAATCCATGCTGAGTTCTTTAAGCATTGGAAGAGGTTGGCGGTTCAAAAAAGTTGTTGTAAGGTGAACATTATAGATAGGACCCTTCCAAATTTATGGCCATGAAGAATACATCATAGATCACATCATAGATCCCCATGAAATCTGAGCTTTTATATACTTTTACTCTATACTATACTATACATTTCATGAGGGAGACCATTATTTCTCAAACTGGGATCCCAACCCAAAAGGGGTTGGGGTGGGTTGCAAGGCTAATGCAGAGAGGTTATGGTATTACCACCTTTACTTCTGTGCTGCCTTCAGAGCTGCGTGGACAGAGCGCCACGGCCGTTGGCTGGGTTCCCAGCTCTAAAGGCAGTGCTGCTGCCTGCAACAACATAAAGGCAGAAATACTGCAACCCTCCTACAATAGTTTGCAACTCCCTCCTTCCCCTCCCCCCCATCTTCCCGATTCCCTTTTGGGTTGGAACCCACACAGTTACAGTACTGTAAAATTTCAGATTTAAGTATCTGAAACTGTGACATTTACTGTTTATAAAATCCTTTGACCATGAAATTGACCAAAATACATCATGAATTTGGTAAAGCCATAATTATCAAACTATATATTGTTTTATTATTGCTGAATATCAGCCTTCTCCTCTAATGCTAGCCCCACCCCTTTGTACCACCTGAACCTTGTATTTAAACAGCATGATCTGGTAGAAAATTAAAATTCTTCCTATCAGCCCCTAAAATAGGGTTATTTTTGTATCCTGGCAAAACTAACAGGATGTTCCCTGATACTCTTGGAAGTCTCCTTATCCACAACAGGAAATATGGCCAATCTTGAATGATATGGAGATCACCCATTGTAAAAGTCTACTTCAAAACTCAAAGGCAACTTGTATAGTAACCAATATTTTATGTTGTACTTTGGGACAAAGCCAGAAATCATTTACTTTAACTAAATGGAAATGTCATACTGTTACTGCTTTTATTGTTGAACACTATAGTGAGCTGAGAAGCCAAGGGTGTGCAGAAATAATGGTTTAGTATAAGTTGATATGTCTACACTACAGAGGAAGATCGAAGATGCAGCTGTCAATCTTCCGGGGTTCAAATTAGCAGTATAGTCAAGACAGCTAGTTCAAAGTGAGAGGGGCATTCTGGTTGATGCCAGTGACCCTGCTTTCATGGGGAGTAAGGGAAGTCGAAGGAAGAGTGTTCTTCCTTCAACTTCCTGCAGTATAGACAGTGCCAAAAGCCGAGTTAGGCAACTTTGACTCCAGTTACGCAGTTAACATAGCTGAAGTTGAGTATCTTAATTTGACTTTGTCCTGTAGTGTAGACATACCATTATGTGTTGATGAGTAGACTTACAAGGCCTAACCCTGCAATTTTTAGACCGAATATCCATAGGTTTCTGTGGGAGTTTTTTCTGTGCTCTAAGGAGTGCAGGAATGGGATTGATGGGCCAAATGTTCTGTCCTTAGTTACAATCAGTGGGATTGCATGTGTGCTTTTCGTTAACTAAGAGGAAAAAATCCTGCTTGCTGTCATGTGTAATCTTAAACATGAGAAGAGCGATCTCAAGAGTGTTCTGGTAGGGGTGTATGTGTGTGTCTTCAATAGGAGGTGTATAGTTTTGAGTTGGTGCAGGTTTAGAGAAAACAAACCCAGAGTTTTAACTTCTGTTTTGTCTAGTGATGTTTGTCTTTGCCAGTGACAGAGTTTACAAAATATTGCAATAAGCATGCCTCATCTTTTGCCATTTTTCCGCATATGGGTGTGTGCTTCCTTTTCATCATGGTTTTATTTTTTGTGTAGCTACTCCTTCTATTTTAAGAATAAGAAATGAACTTTAGACTGTGTGTGTAGGGGAGAGGGAACATTTCATAAACATTGTGGTTTTGAACCCTCTAATCTTTTACTACCTGTAGGTGCAGGTGATTGCCAGGAAAGAACTGAGAGGCTCTGACTTTTCCAAGGCACAGGATTATGCAATGGAGAAGAATATTTTAGAATCTAAAGAGAGAGTTCAGAACATCATGGTCAGAAGGTGCGTTGCTCAGAAATTGATCCCTCCTTTTTAGTATTTTTTGTTTGATCATTCCGAGGTAGAATGCCTATCACATAGGTTTTTGCTTTAAATATGAAACTGAAGTGCATGGTCTGCTGTTTATTTTTCATTGCCTGTTTTAGCTATATATACAGTGTATTTAGTTTGTGGAGCTTGTGGTTCCTAACCTCTTGGCTTGTTTCTTTGTGCGTGCAACATGCTTAAGAGAAAGTAAACGAGAAACATTCGATTGATCTAAGAGCAAGGAAGCAATTATATGTTGTCAGTTGTATTAACTGTGTAATGCTGAGATAGCGTCTGTTGAAAAACAACCAGACAGTTAAAGAAGAAGTCCGAAATATTTTTAGCATATTGAAACTGTTTAAAATGCTGAAAGCGGGGGGAAGAGGGGGAGGAGTGTATGAGGAGGAGAGAAATACAGCATCGTTCCCATGTGATTCTGTGGTTTAGTTTTTTTCAGAGATACTCTTATTTCTTTTTTTTCTTTATAAGATCAGTCACATGTTTCAGTGGCAATTGCTGTCTTACACTATGGGTACGTCTAGACTACAGGCTTTTGTCGACAGAAGCTTTGTCGACAGATACTGTCGACAAAGCCTCTGTTGAAAAAGAGCGTCTAGACTACAGACAGTTATGTCGAAAAAGCAAGCTGCTTTTTCAAAAGAGAGTGAAAAAGCACAGTATGGATGCAATAGTGCCTTTTTTCGACATAACTCTGTTGACATAACGCAGCGGTAGTGTAGACGCAGGTATAGTTTTGTCAACAAAAGTGGACTTTTGTCGACAAAACCCTGTGTTCTAGACACACCCTATAACTGCATATAGAATGTCTCATTTGCCATCATAGTAAAACCAGTACATCTAATAAAACTGTGAACTTCTCTCTCACCCATTTAGGGGGTATGAAACATTTTTCACACTTTAATATGTTAGGATTCATGGCATCCCTGTGAAGTAGGTAAGAATGTGTATTATTCTTGTTTTGTAGAAGGGGAACTCAGTGCACTTAGCATTCCATTCTAATTTGAAAAGCAATTCGGAATAGCTTTTGATTTCATTAACAAAAATAAGATCTTACTATTCTTTTTTTATCCCTGTTGGCTCCATGGAGCCAACTAAGTATGGCTATGTCTATACAGGAATCAGAGATGTGATTGTAGCATATATAAATATTTCCAATCTAGCTTTGATCTACATAGCATGAATAACAATCGCAGTGAAGTCTCACTAGCACAGGCTAGCTACCCGAATTCTGTCCAGGGTCTCAGGCAGGCTTGTATAGCCTGTGTTGATACCTGTATTGCCACCCCTTCACTCGATTGATACTAAATCAAAGGTAAGTTGGGTATATCTACATGTGCTGCAGATAGATATACTCCATTTATGAATGCAAGAGCTGGAATCTTTTTCAGCTGATGCATCAAGAGAATTGTAAACAGATGAATCCTGAGAGATGCCTGGTATTTTCCTCTCCCATCAAAGTAAATAGTTTTTAGAGGGCACTCTAGGGCCTTTTAGAATTTGGTCCTCAATTATAGTTGCAGGTCAGATCATAGCCTCTGAAATTCCCATGTAGACTAAAGAATTGTGTCTGAGGTAATCCGCTGCCGACCAAGTAACCCTACTGAAAACTACCCCCAATCCTTACACAGTCATTTTAATGGACGCAGCCATGTTCTCGCTTGAGAATTGTGAAGTAAACCAGTTTCAAAACTTGGAGATAACAATTATAAATTTTCATCAATGACCAATTTGTCTTGCAAAAGTTTTATTATGGAAGATTATGCCTAGGATGACCATAATTCCCTGTGCTGAATATGAGTAAAATTACTCATTCAGGCAAGTTCAGTGGCAATGAATCAGAACTATGCAATACAGATGTTCAAATGACCATCAAGTTGACTGAGACCCTGTTAAAAATACTGCATAGTCGGATTATTTTTATTTACCTTACGTTTAAGGCTTTAGGGTCCACACAGAGAGAGGTGACACAAACACACTGCCATATATCTTCCTCATATTGACAGACTGGACTCTCCCTCCCTGGTGCTCTCCTCCCTCCAGCCCTGTCTGTGCCCCTTGAACAGTCATGCCCCTCCTGGTACTTGGAGCCATGTCTTCCCAAGGTCATATACCCCCCCCCCATGATTTCTGCCAGAATGTGACCAGAAGCAGCCTTTCAGCATTGTGCTTCCACTTCCCCATTGCCCATTCCTTGTGGCTGGAATCAGCTTGTCCCAGTGTTAAAAGGCATCTAACACCTCTAGGCTTCTTCTGGACACTGACATAACCCAGCTGCCTCCTGGCTACAACGTGAAGAGGCAGGGGTTAAGCCCAAGAATACATTGTGTACCAAGGCCCAGAGAACTTGACTGCAGGGGCTTCAGCGAATCTGGACAGAGAGGTGGCTGAGCAGGTAGCCTAGAGTAGCCCCGTGCTCCCTGGGAGCAGGACTGGAGGAAGGGGTGAAGAAGGTGCTAAGCCTCTGTGCAGCGGTCTTCTGTGAAGCCTGTAGGGTAATGGGGCAGACAGGCTGAAAATCGCTTCCTTTCTGCTACTCCAGAGCTTAGGTGAGGGGCAGAGAGACTTCCCTAGGTCAGCACTGTGTGGGATTTTGGCGCACACAGGACTCAGCTTCTCCTGTGCCGAAGAGTCTTGGGAGTTCCCAGGATGCCAGCCTAGCCAGAGACAGTGAGGGGAAAAGTAACCTGCCAGCCAGGCTATTGATGAGATGAGTACTCCAACCAGGGGTTGGGTTCTTCACATAGTGCTAGGAGGGGGGATGCACCCTGCCAGCGGAAAATATGGAGGGGCAGTGGAACTGAGGGGAGATGAAGGGACAAAGTAGGGAGAGGACAGCAAGAAGAAGCATGTAAAGGGTCGATGGCTAGGCAACGGAAGCAATATGTAATCAGCTGCTGCCTGGCGCCTGCCTGCCGCACCACCACCGTGCACAGCCAGTGCTGTCTGTCAATGGAACAGGCAGCAGGGCCTTGCTGGCCAAGAGCCAGCACAAGAGCAGCCAGCTCCACTAGCTGCAGTTTTGTCCTGCCACCAACGTTACACACCCAAGCACATTGTCGGCCACTAGACCTACCTCACTCACTGCTGGAGGCGGACAACTGATGAGCTGAGATCCAACTAGCAGCAGGACCCAGCAGTATAGTTGCGGGAGGAGGAAGACAAAAAATGTGGGAGAATTTGGCTTTTTTTTAAGAATGTCAGGACAGCCTAAAAAATAAAGCAATATGTGTAAACCTAATGAACACTGGAAACCCACCAGAAATGGTTATTTGTATCTAAGGGTATGTCTACACTGCAACACTATTTCAAAATAACTAGTGCTATTCCAAAATAACTTAGTCCGTGTCTACATAGCAGGCAGTTATTTTGAAATAGTGTCAAAATACTATCAAGCTGGAGGACTTCTTACTCCGACTCCTGTAACCTTCATTGTACAAGGAGTAAGGGAAGTTGGAGGAAGAGTGCTCTATTTAGAAATAAGTGCTGTGTTATTTCTCCCAATTTCGAAATAAGCTACACAATTGACGTAGCTCAATTTCTGTAGCTTATTTTGGTAGATGCACCCTAAGAGCTTGTTTACAAAGAGCAGTACAGGCAGTCCCCGGGTTACGTACAAGATAGGGACTGTAGGTTTGTTCTTAAGTTGAATCTGTATGTAAGTCGGAACTGGCATCCAGATTCAGCCGCTGAATCTGGACACCAGTTCTGACTTACATACAGATTCAACTTAAGAACCCCAGGCGTCCCCAAGTCAGCAGCGGCTGAATCAGGACAGCAGCTGATTCCAGGAAGCCCCCAGTAGACCAGGGAGACGCGGGTGGAGGGACCGCTGAGATGCGCTGCGGTCCCGCCCGCATGCTCCGTGGCTTTGCTCTGCGTCTCCCAGGGGGGCACTAGCAGTGTCCCCCCCAGCAGACCAGAGAGAC